GAGAGCTGAGAAACCTCAGGATAAAAATGTAAGAATCACTGCTCCTCTTACAGGCTCAACAAATAGAGGGGCGTTAAGACAGACTTTCCACATTGTGATGGAGAGGATTTACACAGCCCCTGCCTCACAACCCCCAACTCAGCACGGCGTTCTGGGAGTTTGAATGACACAAGTTCTAAATGTCTGTTTCACCACCAATTATCTCTGTGACCTAAGACATAGCACTTAATCTCAATGGACTTGTGTGTTCTCATCTTTAAAAGGTTAGGGAGTGGGGATGTGGGATGAAAGTCCAGACTTGCTCGGCCTCACACATTTGTTGTGAGGCTCAAGTGAGATAATATATGTGAACATCCTTTAAAAAGCAAAGGCATTATATGAACACAAGGTATTAACTTTTTAAGTCCTAATCCTGGAGCAATTAAATCCTAGGAGACTAGAGCAAGTGAAAAATAACAGTTTTGCATTTTAAGCCCATTGAAATGAATTGTCTGAACCCTCTACCTTCCTCAGTAAATGCTGTTCTTCATCCCATCTCTTTATTTTATTTAGTAGAGTATTATAAAGGTTGTTATTCTGGCTTTGCACTTTGCCAAGGTGGCAGAAGTCGGGGAAGTTGGCAGCTGCTAAGACTCAGGAAAGGCACCTATTTCTTCCCTAAATTGCTCTAGAAGGGAGGGCTGAGGAAAATTGAAGCTATTGGTCAAAGGAGAAAAAGGGCTTCCACTCAAGCTCTGCAGTGTCACACCCTCATTCAATAATGAAAAGAAAATGAAAAAAAAAGAGGGATAAGAGCTTTAATTTTGCCACATTTCTCAAGTTTTCTCTCCTTTGCCTCTCCAGAGTTCCTAATGCACCTAAAATCAAAGAATCTCTGACTTGGATGGACTTTATTTTGGGTGGAATCAGATAAATGTTGGGGGTGGGGTGAGGTAGCACATTACATACTCAAAGATATGAGCCCACTGTACTGATCTACCCTTCATCCAGCCCAATTGGGTAACATGTATAACAAATCCAAAAGTCCCACTTTAGGGACTGTGCCTGTCCTGGGACATCCAGAACCATGTCCACCCAAGCCTCTGTGGAGATGGTCGTCATTCTTATTCTTACGTAGCTCTTGGCCCTTATATCAGTATTGTTCAATTAGAAAAGCACCTCTTAGGAGATCATCAATCATCTGAAATATCAAATACTGTTTAAAAGCAATGCAGAATAAAAAAAGACACCCTAACTGGTAACCTTCAATGAATCACCCATTTAGCAGAAAATTCCTGAATCCTTACTATGGCCTCAGCCCCTGGTTAGGTTTTGAGGAAAAATACACCAGCATCTAAGTAAATCTCTCTCTGTTAAGAGACCAGTAGACTATAGGGGAGAGGAAGGTATAGATAAGATACAGCAAATATGCCTCCCTAAGTCAGGCACCAATGAACACATTCTAACCAACCTCCCCTGTGTCCCCTCTCCATGGTCCCGTGTAAAGCATTGTATTCAATGCTGGGCTGAGGGGAGGCTAAAAAGTAAGACAAAACCTTGCTATAACATAAGCTAATAAGGCAGCTTATGATGTGCTGAGAATTTTTTTAAATTAAATTAATCATAACAATCCAGCCAGTATATCTCTAGTAACCCACCATCATGGAGCAAAAGCCATGCACAAACAACTACTTCAACTTTCATCTTCAAACTAACCTTGCACCAAGAGTTTACATCATACATTTTGGACTCCTTCTGATTAAGTATAGAACTATAGATGAGTATCAATGACCATATATAAAACAATAGCTCCAAGTTGTCCCCTGGTGGTGTCCTGCTTGATGACACCCAGTCTATGCCCAACCCCACCCCATCATTCTCCCCAAGAGGCCCTTCTACTCAAGACTCTCTGCCTTCAGCCCTTCTAACTATATGCCAGGGCCTAGTGAAAATGAGATTTAAATGTGAGCTAATGGCCCCTTCTAAGGACAGAGATGTCATCAAAGTCTGAAAGCCTGAAAAGTAAGCCCCAAGCATAGGCTTACTGGCTGGTTAGATCTGGCATTTGTATGTTTCAGTCCTGAACTCTTAGGGTTAAAAGCAGCTTGGCTGCTTAAGTGTGGGATAGAATAAAGGCGAAAAACCCCCAAGGAGGATGAAGAGGATGAGCCCTTTGTGTGGGTTTACTGGAAGGAGGCCTGCCATCATTGAGGGACTTGATAGACAGGGCTCACCTCCCCTGGGCTTCTCCAGCCCCAGAGGTTAGGGATGGTCCCCGCACTAGCTTAATAGCTGCCAAGCAGTACTATAACCCTTCTCCAAAAGAGTGGGCTTAGACTGTGATGCTGCAGTGAGGATCTGGGAAATGCAGATCTCATCAGAGATTCTGGTCTTCGGAGGGGGCTAGGTGAGACTGTCTTTTGTGGCGTTATTTACTGCTGGGACGTGGTGTGGTGTAGGGAACAGAAAAATGTTGCAGGTTCTAGAAAATTCCGGGTGGGTCAGTGTCAGCTGGCAAAAGAAGAGGGATGAGTGAAGAATATGGTCTGGGAGGAGATGGTGGAAGGAGGGGCTGCAGAAGGAGGGCTGCCATCCACAACTGCAGCGTTATGTGTGTCGGAGATAAATTCACTTGTCATATTTCAAATTAGGTTTATAGGTGCTCCTTCCCCCATCCCCCCACTCAGTAGTGGCTTAACGGGTGGTCTTCTCAATCATTAACTGCAATTTTGCAGTGTATTGGCGTCTAAAGTCTAGGTCTGACTGAGGTGATGGTTTGTATGTATGTGTACGTGACTAACAATCGAGAGAGCTTCTAAAGTCTCCCGATGTGGTGGGAAGGGTGCTGCGGCAGGGACTGGCCGTTCTCTTCGCAAGAGAATCTTCCATCCCTAATTTCAGAGCGCTTCCGAGGTATCAGGAGGTGAAAAAGGTGTCGGTGTTGCAGTGAATTTCCCCCAGCCCAAGATACACACACATATATACACATTAACAAGTTCGGTAAAAAAGTCCTCTTGATGCCTGGGAAGTCCAGCTGAAAGCAAAAGGCAGTCTCCCATGGCAAAGGCGAGCCAGACAGACGCCCCGATCGCTGCGGAGACCCGGGCAGCCTCCCCTCTGGAGCGCGCAGCCCAGCCGCCGCTACCCGGGCACTCTTGCCTCACTCTCCGGGCTACATCTGCAGGCTGCAGAAAGCCAGGGCTCCCACCCACCCTCAGCACACACCTTTCCCGAAGCATCCCCAAACCCTGTACCCAAAGGCAAACCCTCTCTAATCTGGCAAAGCTCCGAAACGCAAAAACTGAGAGGGGGAACAAATTCTACTTCAATTCAGGGGCTTGCATAAACACACACACACACACACACACACACACACACACACACACACACATTTTACTTCAACCCAAAAGACTGAACACACACACACACATCCCAACCCCGTGCCCCTTAATTTCTTTTCCCAGGTTAGAAAAAAGGGTTACTTGCCCACAGAGGCTTGGAGATGGGGGGCAAGAGGTTGGTCCGAGGCTAGGTTCACCTGCTGCTGAGGTGAGAGAGCAGACACACAGGATGAAAGCTGTTCTGAGCAGCAGCTCACAGCTGAGTGGTTAGGGGGATTGCAAAGACCCTCAAGTTCGCCTAGAGCTTTTTTTATTTTCCAATCGCGTCACTAAAGGGTTAAACGCGGCCGAGCTCCAACCGCCCCCACCTCCACGCCTCCCCACTCCCCCTCCCCTTTTTGTCTCCCCCCTCCCCTCCCGCGCGTCGCTAGGAGGTCATCAAGCGCTCTGTCCAGTCCGCGTTCGCAAGCCCCTCTGCTTCCCGCCCATCGGGCCCGTGGCTGCTTACGAAGAGGTGTGCGCTCACCGAGGGGCGTGTTCCAGCTCTGGGAGACGCCGAGCACCCCCGAGTTAGTCCTCAGAGCGGAGCCAGCCATGGAGCGGGGCGGGGGAAAGTTTGGCACCCTGCAAGGGGTTGTCGAACTGGGGTGGGCGGGGCGCCCGAGGGTACTTTAGCCCTCCGAATTCAGGGGCGCC